TATTATTATCCCAGTACATTATAGTCCACTCTCTCCACATGGTCTTATGAATGATCCAGTCTACCACGGTGATAGTAGTCAGCTTTGTCTTAATCTTGTCTTCACTTCAAAGGCTTCTCTGAATTTTCTGTTGTAAATCACTCGACATTTGACATTACCATACATCTGTTGAATGACATTGATAAAGGTTTGCAGCTCTGCACTTTATAGTGTTGAAGAAGTTCCCAGGTCACTCCATGATCAATGCTATTGAATACCTTTTCGAAGTCAATGAAGCTGCGTTAGAGATTTGACTTCTCTTCTATGCTCTGTCTGATGATGACGCTTAGAATTCCTACTTGTTCCGGTAGGAATCCTGCATCTAGTGTATCTTTTAGTCTTTACAGGATAACATGACGAAACATTTCGCTTGGCGTGGACAAGAGTATAATTCCACTCCAGTTCTTGAAGGGGCCTAAGTCTCCCTTCTTTTTAAGTATTTTGATAAGATAGCCTGGTTTACTAGTTCACTAGATTTTTAACCGCTCCTAAGCCTACAAACTTGCGTTGGTGGCATAGCGGTTAGGACGCTCGCCGACCATGCACATGGTCCGGAGTTCGATCCCCGGCCACAGACGCACTCCTTTACCTCACTAAGCCAGAAATAATGCTGGTGAAGAGGAAAGGTTGGGCATGAGGCTAGCAACCCCATCCTGTAAAATAAAAACTGCTACAGAATTTTCAAGCCACAAGCTTGAAGCCCTATGTTCCACTGGGGAACGTGAAGGAAAAAAAAGCCCACAAACAGAGGAATACTAGGACTATCAAACCTACCCCAGAAAATCAATCCAGTAGCTACACAAACTTCAGAGCACACCAAAAATATCTACACAGATGTCCAATAATATTTTTTAAGAATTTGCATGTGGCTGACGAGGAGCTGACGAAATAAAATAATTCAATCTTATTTCGCCCTAACCTCTGCCTTTGCTTTGTTGAAACTTATATGGGAGAATATGTGTATGAAGCTTCATAATCAGCCAGTTACTGCCCAGATACCTTAGTGATAACGTCTTCATTTATACTGATGATTCGATGATATACTGATCTCCTCTATTTGATGGATTCACTTTATTCAGTAGTCCCAAGAAGGCTTATAAATACTTGTTTACCGATGTTAACTGAAATTTACTAGTTATTATTGATCTTCACTGTGTCGTGCACTGCCAACTTAATAGGTCACATTCAGTAAGCATATATAAGTTGACAAGACAAAACTAACTACAGTAAAATGTCAAGTCAATAAAATTAAGTACTTTTCACTTAATTCTAACTTATTCATCTGATCCACCAAGTCAGGTAACAGAACAGTCACTTCCCTATGACACTGGCTGACTGTTGTGCCATATATATATTTCGAGGATCGGCATAAGTTGAAACTCATGAGCCACTGGTTGAATGGCTTATGAGCTGGCCTTGTGTCCAGAAGGTATCGGGTTCGAGCTCTCGCAGCGGGTGAGTGCTGATGAAGAGTCCGAAACTAGGGTGAAAAAGCTCTACAGTACTGCTTGGCTTTCCAACGGTTCTTTAAATAATATCAGCCCGTGATCAGATCTGTGATTCAGACTGGATGAAGTTTAATTTCTTCACGGTCTAATACATAATAAAGCCAGCAGTTTGTAAAGAGTGCGTCGGTGGTTCATTGGCAGAGCGCTTGTCAACCGCGCACATGGTCCGAGGTTCGATTCTCTATCGACTCACTCCTAAACCTTGCTAGGTCGATAATGCAACCGGAAAAGAGGGAAGGTTGGGCATAAGGATTGCAACTCCACCCCTTAAAAATAAAACCACTGCTACCGAAACTTCAAATCTCTAGCTTGAAGTCCTATGTACCGGTAGGAACGTGAAGGAATAATATGATAGAGCAGACAACGAATAAGCGAACACTGATTCCCCTTGTACTTTCAATGCGGGTATTTTGTACTAATTGATGTCTACAGCCCTTTTGTTTCTTAGGAAACATGTTTATAGCAAACGCCCTTGTAGACACAAAAAAGCCAACAAGTACAAATAATTTACTGTGTCTGACGAATGTTATCAGTTGAAAATATCTTTACTTTTTATCACCCATAGATTCAATAGACTTATTGTTTTAATACAATGAATGCGTTCTTACAATTATACTTCGTAAAACTATTTATTATTTATGAATTGTTCTTGCATTTCGCGAACTGTGTCTATAATGCACTGTGATGCACAACAACAGCATTTTGCACAGTTCCTCTCCAGTATGAAAAAAGTTGGGTAAAAGCCCTTAGCTCTGGGTTCAGAGCTATTTATTCAGAAGATGAGATTGAAGAGGAACTTAAGGATGTGTATGATGCATCAACTGAAAACAGCTACCCTGAGAAGCTCATCACTAAACATATGACTAATAGAATAGGAAACAATTCTTCTGTATCTGTCGGCAAGAAGCCTATATATATACGACTACAATTCAGAGGTTATACATCAAGTGAAGTAGTAACCAGCATGTCGAGAAAATCAATTCGAAGAACATTTGATGCAGGTAAGCTGAAAGTTACATTTTCCACATAACTGGTTATAATTCTTCAAATGAAAGACGAAGTACCTAGTCTAGCTACTTCTAATTTTATCTATCAATTTGACTGCTCCTGCAGAGCTGCTCAGGAACACCCAACAAGTGCTGCTAAATAAAGGCGTAGTCAGAACCATCAATAGATGCTTTTTATATCGCCTCGTGCAAACAAGCTACTAAGGTGGCATTGAACAGTCTTTCTCTATCATCTATCGGGTATCGAAATAACTACCGAAGGCCTCTAGATACCGGACACTACAAACATCAGAGGCCATTGTAGTTCGCCTAAATTAACCGAAGCTCTGAGCGCAAAAGATGCAGGTTCAGCCACTAATGCTACCATGGTCTGCTGCTGGGCCTATAAATCCATAAATTCTGCGTTACTTCTCTTTAATTTATCTGATATTCAGTTTATTGTTATAGTGGTGCATATTACCACTTACAGACGCTTTTGATCTATAATCATCTATCGATAATATTGATTCAATATAATTTAAGACAGCGTTAATGTTGTTAATAACAATATTTATTCAATTATTACTAAACTCAGTCTTCTTAATTCATTATGAATTCTAGGAGGGTGAAAGAAACTGCATATACTTATACTTGTTGAGAATGGTATTTCAATCTGTTTCCAAGTGTTTTTTAAACAGGGATTTGATTGACTTTGGGTTAAATCACCAACTTCTACCACTGAAAATAAAGCATTACTGGGAATACTCAGCAGTACGTGCTCATTAATCCTCTGGGAATTGAACGCAGAAGCCTCATGTTGTGAGGACAGCCAAGTGTCTATTCAACCACTGAGGCCCATGGATTCTGACTTCTGCTAGTTAGCGATATAGTTACCACCACGACCAGCCAATATCATCAATAAATATTTGCCATCAAACTCGACTTACTGGGCCCTAATAAACATGACTCCTCACCGGAACTCCAGGCTTCTCCATCTTGTAATCAGTCGTGGATTCCAGCCCCAGTGTGGTGAGGGATGCACACTGTTGAAGAGCTCCAGACTGGGATGAAACAACTGTCCACCGGCACTGTGATTGATGTTACCTCTTGATCTGACTTGATCTCGATCTTTTATTTTGTTAATTAGCTTAAATTGCCAACTTTAGATTCGTATTAAATTTGATTAATTGTGTAAGTTACTGTTACACAGGACAAGGTCAATTATTATGAAATAAAATGGTCTCGGTGGTATACCGGTTAGGATGCTCAACGACCATTCCCCTTGTCCGGGGTTCGATCCCCGGCCGACACACGCCTTTACTTCGCTAAGCCAGAAATAATGCTGGTAAAGAAGAAAGGTTGGGCATGAGTAGCACCATCCTGTAATAAACACTGCTAAATAAACTTCAAGCCACTAGCTTGAAGCCCTATGTTCCACCGGGGAACGTGAAGGAAAAAAAATGTTCTTCAATCAATCCGAAGTAAAGTAAGCAAAGTACATGTCTCACTCATGTGATTATGCAGTCACTTATTACTGGGTTTAACTCATCTAGTAGAATGTTAAATTTGTTCAATTTTATTATAAATTTTGTAATACATGTGGGTCTTATCTAACAAATATAGTATGAAAACCGACAGTGCCATAAAACATCTGTATGTGCTGAATTAAAATAACCCTCAAAATCTAATTGAGACCCACGAAACACACGGAATACGAATTTGGTGGATTCTAACCAACAGTGGAATGCAGGACAACACCGATTTCGTCTCATTTGGGACTCGTCGGCTAGTGGATGGTTCTGCATTTCCCAGTGAGTGACGATGGTGCTCCCACTGATACTCGAACTCAGTAGTCAAAGCACCATCCGCTAGACCACTTGCGCTACGAAGAGCCTCACATAGAACGAAATGCTCATCCTGCATTTCACTGCTAGTTAACATCCATCAAATTACTTCAAGTCAATCCTCAGACATCATCAGAGCGTTCACGCTAACATGTACCTGATTGTACGCGAAAGTTTCAGAGACACATTAAGTGTAATACCAGAGACTGATTAACTGCCTTACTCTCTATGAGATAATTGTTAGTTTATGAATATCAGAAACCTACGTGAAAATGGATGGAAGGTGAACCGAAGTATAGATAGGATAGAAGCGCTCACACTTGAAATTAAAGGAATAGCGTGTTCCAACTAGTGTGAGTTTACAGATAAATGGAGGAATTCAATCGCAGGAAATCAAATATTCCTGACGCATTTCGCTGCTTGAAGAACAGAAACTGTAAACAAATTGACTTTACATTATAGTACATGAAATGATTAGAGTTCCACCTGACTTATTAAAGGCAAAGGACACCCACTGACATCCGAATTTGTTTTAAATGATGAGTTAAGCATTTAAAAAACTTAAATGGTTGATTATAACAAAATTGAAGAAAAAAGATTGATTTAAACAAAATATCACTTACTCTTAAACTTCCTCGTGTACAATGATCAAATGCCAAACATAAAGCTGTCAGATCAACATAACAACCAATCAACTGGTTGACATTTTCATTGCGTATCTCTCTTAACAAACGAATATGATCTAGAAATTTACTCTTCAAGGCAGCATTGTTCAAATCCAATTTTTTGATGTAAATTAAACCATTCTGAAAGTTGAAAGTGAAACAAAAGTCAAGTAATAGTTATATCACAGTGAATAAACCATTATTATGCTACTGACAAGATTTATCAGTAGTACATTAAGAGATGTTCATCAGCACAAAAATAGCAAATAGCGGAGGGATAGATTTGACGAGAAAAGAGAGGAAATGAACGAGTATTGGGGCAAAACATGGGAGACACGAAAATAAGACAAAGAAACACAGAACGAAGGGAAAAAGTAGCACAGAAGCGGAGATCTGTGCAAAATAACGATTCTCATTTTAGGTGTAAATAATTTCGTTATATGGAGATATACGAAGCTTCTTGTCTTCTGCCGCACTCAGGAAAAATAAGACATCCTTGGGTCCAATAGCAGCAGAGCATAGTATGGCAGTCAACTGTTTAACTCAACCTCGTCGACTTTGAAAAGGCATTCTATAGAGTCGAGTGTGAGTTAATTTAGCAGCTGCCTTAACACTACGCAGTGCAGTATTGCGAACATTCACAGACTTCATTGGTTAACTATATAATGATGCTTCACAACATAAAATTCATGGAGGCCTCTGAAGTGAAAGCAGGGGTAAGACAAAGCTGCATACTATCACCAGTGATGCTGACTATGGTGTAGTAAGGAATAAGAAGATGGAAATATGTTAGACTGACAAAAAGACCCTAAAATACTCGAATTTCTCAGATGATTTATGTCTTGTACCTCGGAATATCGAAGACTTACAAGCGAAAACCACCATTCTAGTAGAAAGGACGTCAGGAGAACGTAGGGAAGGCAGAGATAACGAAGATATCTGGATACCACCAACGACCATCATCTGGACTGCATCATTCCAACTCAAGATGATGTGGATGGGGGTTGTTGACACCAGCCGCGGTCGCTAAGGATCGCGAAACTCGCCCTCATTACTCTGAAATCAATGTGATGATCTATGGCAATCACCATCCTCACCTAGTTCACTAACTCGCTAGCTTTCTAGCCGGTCCCAAGCCCGATATAAGAGGAAGAAGGGTTGGCATGGGGCTCGTGAAACTAACCCGCAAAAACCAACAAACTGCTGCAGAAACTTCAACGCAATATTATAAATACCAAAAATGTAAAACGCAAAATTATTTTTCGCTAGAATTGGAGAGGCGAAATGACGTGGGCTGATGAAAGCCTTCAGAAAGGCAGTCATCAGATGTGTGTTTTTTCCATGAAAGCAAAAGTAAGAATCGGGAAGTGGAATGTTCGTACAATGTGCGAGGCTGAGAAAGTTGTCTAAATAACCAAATAAGTGAAGAGATATGCAATAATAGTGCTTGGAATCTGCGACAGCATGAAAACATGAAAGCTAAATCTAAGGGTGTCTGCTTGTCTTCTTTTATCGTATAATATTAAGCAGCTTAGTATTCAGTTTCTCTTCAGGAAAAAAGGGCCAATAATTTTCGTTTCAGACAATCGTAACATGTAATCGGTGTTGTTTCAATGAAGTTTATCATTTGTTAAATAATTATATAGAAGTTCAGTCAGCGGATGAAGTAAGCGGAAGCACTAGTAAACATTGCAGAATAAATAAACATGCAGTGAAGTTTAAATATACCACAGCTAATGTCACTGGGTATGAACCGGCGTTTTCAACGTGGTATGTTGCCAAAAAAACCAGAATCAGATAGGCAAGTCACGCATACATCACTCTGTAGTCAATTTGGAAATTTTCTGCACTAACTCAGCATAAATAACAAAATTCGGATTTGTTACACCAATGGTAAATCAGTCAGTCCTTCTACGTAGGTGAGGAACTTGGCACGTCATGGAAAGCCCTTCAAAAAGGCTACTGTAGACCTTAATCAACAGCTGCCCACTCCTCTCCACACTGGAAATCAAATGCCCAGAAAGGATTAGCAACAAGGCACTTTGAGAATGAACCAACCAGGAACCAATTGCTTAATAAATATGCAGAAAAACTTGAGATAGATCGGACAGACACTGAGGATACCATCGAATGACGTAGCGTGCAAGGCCATTGCTCCATTGGAACCAGAATGGGAGATGACGAGTGGACCATGGATTAGAAGGTGACATAGAGGAGACGGTAGGAGGAGAGATGAGAGACTATGGTCACTTGCGGGACCGGCTGTGGAGGAATTCAGAGGACAGAACGAAGTGAAGATGCTCTGTTGAAGCCTTATGGTCCATTGAGAACCCAAGAGAACAATAATAGTAATAATATCACTGGATATCTGTTTTGAAATTTCGGGTCACTTGATGGTGATTCTGTGTTTCTGGGTCTGCTTATTCTAGAAAGGCTTGTACAACCAAAAGACTCAATGATGTCGGTCTAATTTTTTCCCAGCCGCTTTCATTTAACCAATTAACAACTGCTAGCTGGGATTAGTCGAAATTCTGTGTTACATGATAGCCGGAACGTTTACTTTTTGGGATTGTAGTATACCAGAAGAGTTGACTCTACAGCTGTCTAAAAAGTGTAGATACCGAGTCGTACAGCCGGTGGATTGCACTATGAAAAAAATTAAAATACTGCCTATCATCGCCATTCAGGAAAAGATCTTGGTGCCTAAAGCTTTATTTTTAATTGTCTGACCACATTTCATCACAGATGGTAATATCTTCTATATAAGTTCATTTCTTAAGGTTTAAACACATAAATATCTATCAGCCTTCAGCAGATGCGTCTTTTTTCACACTCAGTTCAAGCGAATTATTTGAAACAGAAACATGTTATTCAGCATGACAATTTCCTTTTTTGATCTTTGTTCTTTTGGGATCAGAAAATATAAAATGATATCCAAAACAGATCATTTTTCCCGTTCCAGTACCTCATGAATATATCAATTATTGAACTGTAGGCAACTAGGAAGTGGTAACTGTTCTGTTAGCTTCCAAATCCCTCTGAAGCATATTAGTGCCCGAAAAGACCGACGGAACGAACAGTTTATCTACTTTCAGAAAGAGAAACCTAATATACTCCTTGCTCGAGGATCCGGAAAATCTGCACTGGGGGGTCAGTATAAGAAGAATTGCAAAATCTATGAGGGATCTTGATAATAATAATTTGCTTTATTCCAAAACAGTACTTGTGATACAGAATGGAATTCTCAGCATTTTTACTACAGTATTGCATCCAGTTAGTACATTATCAATAAATAGAATTCTACATAGATTGAGGAAACCAACAGTTCATTATTACAACAATACATTGGCATGTCAGTAGCAAAGGTAAAGCTGAAACAGTGTTTGAAGGTGTTAGAAAAGTGGGAGCTGTCTTATTAACAGGCGTAAGCGAGAGAAAGAGACAAAGCAGCACATAACGGAAAAAGAAGAGAGAGAAAAGGAAAAGAAAGAAAGAAAATGTTGTACATATTGATGATGTGGGTTGGAAAGACGAGATCCAGTTGTACTACTGACTATTTAAAGAATTATAGGTGTCACGCCTAATGCTTTCTTTATCACACAGAACACGAGCTAAGTAGGGTATGGTTGAGTTTTCGTACTTGCTGGTGCGAGCATATAGTTGGAAAATGGTTTCCCACCCAGATTACTAGAGAAGAATCTAAAACCAAAGAAAACGCCTGAAAAGATCCAAGTCACCCCCTAACAGATGCTGCTGTTTGATCTCAAATTTAAAAGTGAAACTGAAGTAGAAATTCTCCGTAAACGACTTTCGAAATCTCTCAGTAAAACAAACTTCGCCTTCCGCCTACACCTCACATTTTTTTGCAAGAATCTATTCAACCAGGATGTAAAAGACGAGCTGTCACACTGGTCCACTTCAACATGGATATACCAGTTCACTTGCTCGTGTGGAACCGAGTACCATGTAACCATTCCATGCGTCTGCTTGTAAAACGCACTCGGAAACACTATCCAGCATGGTTAGCAAAAGGAGAACGAAAGGGTGTATACAGTTGAATAACAGAACATCTGATGAATTCAGGACATTCAGCTCTACTTGAAAAGTCCTTCAAAGTCATATACAAGATCCAATCAAATCTCTCAAAGGGAGTGTAATCAATAAAATAAAATGAATAAAAAGTCACATCTTTCAATAATGATTATCCTATTACACCTTTCGTTTACAATCCTCCTGTCTATTTCTGCTATTTTTACGTTTTTAATTCCCATTTGCATTACTAGATCTGGTTGCTTACTATAAATACACGACTGTACAGCCTAGTTGATGGTGACTTCGTCAAGAAGAGGTAGATCAAATGATTTTGAAATTTTCCTTGTAGTGATTAAAGATCAAATATTCTTCTAAGACTCAAGAGAGATGGTGTTTATCAAAAATCTTTCTAATATTCTGAAAAAAATATTAACTTTAGCACAAACCTTACTAAATAGCTTCACATTAAATAGGCAATTACATTATACACACAATAAGAAGTCATTAACACACAGTATATAAGCAGGTTAATTCACTTACATTATATCGTGCAACATTTGTATCCTCAATTCCTTCACCACTCATTACAGAGACTAAAGATTTGTTCTGGTTGTCTAGCTTGGCTTGATTAGTATGACTGGCATGAGAACCATTTATTTTTGTCTCACTATTCAATGTTGGAAAGCGTAAATCAACATTACTCTACAGGGTAAATCAAAATACAGAAAGAACAATATTACTTGGTATCAGTTTGAGGCAGTCATGAAGAATATACTGAATCCAGCACTTCTATCTTCTTCGTTTTATTAACACAAGTTTAATTTTATATGGGAAATTGTTGTCCTCTAGACACCATCAGTGTTCAACAAGAAAACATGCTTCGGTTCCACCAGTTCACTTAGACTAATTAATAACAATGTAATAACATGACACTAGAGGCATCGATCGTTCAACCCCGCATGTGGTTCGAGGTGTGATCCCTAGCAGAAGCGCTCCTCACTTAGCCGTTGGTAAGCCCAGCAAAGTGGGAAGATTGGATGTGAGGCTAGCAACCTCACCTCGTAAAACAGGACCACTGCCAGTGGAACTTCGAGGATAAAGCTTGAAGCCCTATATCCCACTAGGAACGCAATGGAATAAAAATGACACTCGGGCATAATTGAAGGTGACTATCAGCAAGAGGTAGAGTATGTTGTTTTATTATAAAAATTGGCTTTATTGATGAAACTCAATGAATTTAAAAGGCAATTTTTTAAATTTTTATTCCTTTACGTTCCCAGTGCAACATAGGGCTTCAAGCTACAGGCTTGAAGTCTCGGTAGCTGTGGTGTTTATTTTTACGGGATGGGGTTGCTAGTCTCATGTCCAACCTTCCCTCTTTACCGGACTTATTACTGGCTTAGTGAGGTAAAGGAGTGCGAATGTGGCTGGGGATTGAACCCCGAACCACATGCGTGGTCGGCAAGCATTTTACCGTTGTGCCATCGACGCACTATGAATTTAAAAGGCAAAAGAACCTAAAATAAGGCTTACTGTTCTGTTGAAACCGTAAGCAATGACTAAATGTGATACTAAACTAATTGGTGGGATGTTAATTGATGCAGGGTAGACGATATATTACGTGAAGTAAAATTCCAAACCTAAAATGTGTTCAGATTATTTGATGCGAAATTTCTTACAGGCGACTCATCAAACTGGTTCTCATTGTAAAAAAGGGTCAGTTTATTTTAATATCAAAAGATCCCAAACACTTTTCTAGCCACCCTTCACTGTTTATGTACATAGTCAATCAATTTAACAAGCTACAACACAATTCCCCTCAAATGTTTGGTCTTTATGTCGGACTGAAGAACTCGGTTTCTGTTGACATGCTGACATCTAGTACGGACGATTTGACGATGTTTGGCGACTAACATGATATTAGTTTTGCTGCCTAGTGACTAGTAGTGGGATCCAGGATTCGCATTTTTCCCCGTTTGATACTCATCAGACAGATGTATCTGCATTCCCTATGATTGAAGGTGTTTTCACAGAGAATGGAATCATGAACTCTAGGGCATAATTGATCAACGAGAAGCGCAATTAGTAAGTGATACACTCTACACAAAAGGTGGCTCTCGTGTCTTTAGTGCCCTAATGGGTAACATCTTGGCATTTGAAACGATGGGTGTTCAGTTCGAGTCCCAGTGGGGATACAACCACTCATTGAGAATCGTAGGCACATCCGGATGAAGAGTCCTAAATAGGATGAAATGCACATCCTGGATTCCACTACTAGTCACCACCGAACACATAGTTTGTAGTTTCATTTTAGAATGGCTTTTTGAACTCAGTTTATTGCTAATAGACTATATTGTTTCATATAATATCATACATCTAATAAATTGTGCTGTCATATAATAACGCATAATAATCATTATACTATGCTATCGTGCCAAAGTTCAGTTCTTATGGTAGTGGATCTACTGTAGCACTCATTATAAAGCATTTTTGAAGAACTTGTCACAGAGAAGCTCAAGACTGACTTGTTCCATCGCTCTCAGAGATTCCTTATGTCCCTATCATTTTCATATTTGGTTTTATGACATTCAAGGTAGGCTTTTGCACTCACGCCCTATCGCCCTACAATTATTTCGTCCACCTTTATCGCCATATTTAATCTTCATGTCCCACTGTTAGTATTTTATCATAAATAAACTTGGAGGTGTGTGTTCACTAATTATATTGCACATAATTTCATAAATATGCTGATAGTCGGACAGTTTCTCTTTCAATACTTTCTGCATTGGATTGTTCTGATATGAATAGATTCTTATCTGAGGTTAATTAATGGTCTCATTCAAATGGTCTTAAACTAAATCCCTATAAATGTCATGCTGTTAATTTTAGTCTCAAACGTGAACAGGACTCGTGTGGACTGGTTCACTTTCGTGATTTTTGTAATAGGAAGTAAATTGAATATTGACTATCTTGGCATTAGTTCCTCTTCAAATCCCTGTTGGTAGTGTCATATCTTGTTGATTTCTAAGAAAAATTCTTTCATTCGACTTATTATATAAGGAATTTGAGACTTTCTGTTGGTATAACGCAACCTCTTCTCTGACACAATTTGTTAATCCATATATTCTACCCATTCTTCTTTACTGTTCGCCATTATTCTTCCCTGGACTTCTCAAAAACGACTGTGTCATAATACGTGGAACACTGAAGGCTGTAAGCAGGTTTACTGATGTACTTTTGACTGAATTTTCTGACATTGTTGTTCATAGACACTTTAATTCTCCCAAGCAGTTAGCTGAAGTCATCTTATCTGATACTGAACATTCTCTTTATTCGCAGCTCCCCCCTTGGTATGTCTTCGGGTAAAACTACAAGGAATTTCATAAGAATTTATGCTCACACGGCTACTAAATATTAAAATTGCACCATAACATATTTAGCACGGGTTTTGTGCGAAGGAACAGGAAAACGTCAGAGAAGAACCTATAAACTTTTTAAATTAGTAAAAAAAACATCGAATTACAACCAGGCGTCGGTGACACAGCGGTAAAGTGCTCTCCAACCACGTATTTAGTTCGGGGTTCAATCCCCGGCCACCGAAACACTCCTTTACCTCACTAAGCCAGTAATAAGACGAGTAAAGAGGGAAGGTTGGTCATGGGGCTAGTAACCCCATCCCGTAAAAATAAATACGACTGCTACCGAAACTTGAAGCCTGTAGCTTGAAGCCCTATGTTGCACTGGGAACGTAAATGAATAAAATAGATTACAACTAGAGTTAGTATTCATTATATTCTATCAGCGTCGGTGGTATACCGGTTAGGACGCTAGCCGACCATGCACATGGTCCGGGGTTCGATCCCCGGCCGACGCACTCCTGTACCTCTCTGAGCCAGAAATAATGCTGGTAAAGAGGAAAGGTTGGGCATGAGGCTAGCAACCCCATTCTGTAAAATAAACACTGCTACAGAAGCTTCAAGCCACTAGCTTGAAGCCCTTTGTTCCACTGGGGAACGTGAAGGAAACAAAAAAAATATTCTATCAGCTTTCAGTTTTTCTGTTTTTATTATGTCTACAATTTTATGCATTTATATATTTATAAGGGGAGCCAAATTGTCGGAATACGTACAAACTTTCAAAATCCCATTCCGTATAATTATTACTGTTTACAACAAAGGGATTTCGTTTTCATTATTATTATTATTTGTCGTCATAGTGATAGTTAGTGTTTATTTTGATATTATTCGGTTTATTCATAGGCTTATGTATCTGTTATGCGTGCATATATGTGACTGTGAGGTTTAGTTTTTAAACGCCTCGCACTGGACTAAACAGTACGACTCCATAATTACGAGGGCTGTAAAATCCTCTTAAACTAAGCACGTCTTTATACAACTTAGAGCACATGAACTATAAGGCTGTAAAGCTCAGTTATTATAGGACAAATACATGACTGTTACTGTATTACGTCATCGGTCTAAGGAATATCCATATGAATACAACACGTATTAACATTCAGCAGATAACAAGTATAAAATGAGCTCCAAAGTGATTTAAATGACTGCACTTGGATTCCTCATCGTCATCTAGTAGAAAAATCGCAGGGCATTTTAACATTTTGTAAGCATAAAATGAAACTCTGACATTATGTGTCAGATAACTTACAGGTGTTGCATGCTTAACTGCTCTATTAGCTTTCATAAATACAACATCGTCTGGATAAATAATTAATTTATTCGGTCCTTCACGATACATTTTTCGTCGACGGTAACATCTGAAATAAAGCAAATTTATAAAATTAGTAAGTAAAGCTTATCACCAATGATAACATTATTGTGTGCGTCAGTGGCACAACGGTAGAATGCTCACCAACCACGCAGGTTGTTCAGGGTTCGATTTCCGAGTATTAAGACTGGTAAAGAGGGTAGGTTGGGCATACACACCCCATCCCGAAAAAGTAAACACCACTGCTACCGAAACGTCATAGCCCTATGTTCCATTGGGGCTGTGTCAAACTTAGTCTGGTTTACTAGTTTGCTAGTTTTCTAACCGCCCCCAAAAGACAAAGAAAAGAGGGGAGGTTTGAAGTAGAGCTGGCTAGCATAACCCAGAAAGTCATACCAATCGCCATAGAAAATTCAAAGAATGACAACAGAATCGGAGAGGTGGAGTGATGCGGCCTGATGAAAGCCTTTGGGAAGCTAGCCAGCTGAGGTGTCCTCTTTCAATGATAAGCATTGCAGTTATGCGCTAAGTCTTCTCTACATTCACCGCCACATCTACTAAGCAAGACAAGTCTATGACTATGCGTATTTTGCAGTGCTATCTGCTTCATTCTTACACTCAAAAACAAATATCCCCTATTGAAAGACTAACGTGATTCATCCTTTATCTTAAAGTATATCTAAAACTACCGAGACCAATGAGATTATCAAATAATACAAAGCGTAAATAGACGAAATGCTAAATCCGTTGTGGTGATTTTAATAATTGAGTATTCGGGTTAATCCTAAATCGGTAGATTTAATAATCTGCAGCTTGGATATCATGTCATCAAAAGTTGCAGAAACAGCCAACAGAACATTGAATACCTCACTAACCAGGATCTATCCTGCAGCTAAGTTGGTTTCCGTTTATCGGACAACATGTTCTTTGATGCAATCAAACGTCGACAGATACCCTTAGCATGTAAACTCTGTCTATATAAGTTTAAATGTATCTGCGGTAGCAGTTACATTGGGAAGACAAAAAGAAGGGCTTACCTTCAACTTTCTGAAGGTTTACCAAGAAACCTACATCTTAAAGGAACAAATGCTTTTATTGATGCTACTGTCAGACATCCTATCAATACTGGTCATAAAGTGGATAACATGAAATCCTTTGAAATGATTATTAGTCAAAATAGTTCAGTTCTCGTTAAGTTTTCCAAAGCAGTTTCTGTCACACTCACTAAACTCCATTTATGTCTCAGAAAGAAGCATTTACCAGTCTTCCCTTGCCCTGTTAACTGGATGTCTTTTATTCGACTACTCAAGCTTTGGCTTTAAATTCTTCCGCCTCTACTACAACTTAACTTTGCTTGTCTCTTGTTTCTATGCTCTGAGTTGAACTCATCACACTGTTACTCAACTCATTAGTTACTCATCATTCCATCCACCTCTCATCTTTATTACTCAACTCATCTGAAATTGTATCCAAGCCCTTATATTTTGTTTAAACTTGAATCTTCTGTGTATAACCCGTATAAGTGTAATTTCTGAGCACAATTTATTAAGTTTGGCATCTCCTGTCAACTGTCGTGATGTGATATTTGCAAGTATGTTGAAATTGTTCTGTACATAAACTTAATGATTTCTTTAGGCTGTATGCAGCTAATGAGAACTCGACAAAATCATCAATGGTACCATCTTATTTTATAAAAAAACCCCACTTTTCTTGCTTTATTCAGACGTATGTGAGATCATAGAAAGCATCAATACGAAAACAAGTTGAGATGGGGTTAGCGTCACCTCCAGAGACACATCATCTTGATTATCAGATGAGATAGTAGTTTAAATGCGTGTTTGAAGTGACGATGTTCCCCGACCATGATGAAACACTTGCGTTCAATTCATAGAACTCATCATTTGCTAGAAGTTCGGAATTAATTACGTTTGATACGGGAAATAATTTTCATTTCAGTAAAGATCTTCAAAATAAAAAGATTTACTGGTCACTAGGGTGGGCCCACTGTCATGCATCTTGTCCTTGGTATTGGTGAAGACTGAATTCTATGAGTCGAGTTTATAATATCGTCATCAGGCTATGTGGCTGGCGATTCACTCTGAATTGATACTAGATGATATCTGTGATTTCAACATTGGGTGACACAGGTCCGAGTGACAAAGAGGACATTAGTAACTTGTTTGTTGCAGAAAAATTCAAACAAACATGAAACCTAGGTCAAGTGCCTCCTACTGATTGCCTAAAACCACACTAATTAAAAAGTGGCAGATGTCTATCAAGGATATTCAAGTGTTGTTTTGCAGGGATTTAATCGGATTGGTTACAGGATTTCATCACGAGCTGAAATCAATTAGAGAACCATTGGAAGACCTGGGAGTACTAAACAGACAGCTGTTTCGTACTAGTTTGCGACTCTCCAGCAATGTGCACCCGCCTCCAGGGTTCGAAAATAGGACCTTACGGTTATGAGGAAAGCTCGTAGACCATTTAGCCACTAGGACCCGATCGAGCTATTTCGTAAATTGACAGAAGTTGGAATTCATGGGCCATTGGATTGGGTCCCAGTGGCTCAGTGGCCCCAAAGGTTCTCTAAATGATGTCAGCTGATGATGAAATCTTGTAACCTGTCAAAGTTGTTCAATAAAAGTTATCATAAGCATCGACTGATATCTCATCTACAAAAATCATAGGCGTGTGTTAGCTGTCTTCACAAACGCTAAGTACAAAGCAAAACATCCACAATTATCCTTCGTTTACATATGTGTCAAACAAACAGTAAGCAAAAGCAGGGTGAATACAGGTTACAACAGAAATCGATCTTTCAAACCTATATACATATGATTTGAGTTTTTAGCAAAAAGGTTCATTTCAGAAACAGAAATAATAGCAGTAGTATAACAAATCCGCAAATTTATTTGCAACTGAGTGACATGAAGACAGCCTAGACTGGTCAAGATTTTCTATTCGGTAAATTTAAATATATTTCTAGTGAAAATTTTAGTTATTTGCTCCCTATATCTTTGCTAAAAAATTATGTGGGTTTCAGTGAATAATTCGTGATGAACCAACGTCAGTTGGAGAGGTCACCGATAACCAGAGACTACTGGACAACCGTTTATTCCAACAATTTGGAACTCTTCAGCAGCGCACACTCACAAATCCTTAGGAAATCGAACTCGTGACCTGCAGGTTACGAGACGAAGCTCGTTAGAGGTGGCGCTATATTACGAATTAGCAGATCTAGAGGATGGATGTTCCACCGACGACATTGGTTGGGGTCGCGCTTAAGTCACGAATTGGTAGAAGTTAGAATTCACGAGCCACTGAATCGGGTCCCAGTGTCTGAATAGTATACGAGCTTGCCTTGTAACCAGAAGGTCCTGGGTTCAAACCCTGGCGGTGGGTGCGTACTGCCGATGATTGCCAAACTAGGATGAAACACCTGTGTAGTACTCCTTGGTTTTCAATGGTTCTCTAACTGATATCAATCCGTGATCAACTCGTAAAAACAAAACTAATCCTTACAAACCAATTATAGAAGACCTAGAATTCAGAGGTTACTGAATTCCAACCCAAGTGGCTGGATATTTAACCCGAGGGTCCTGGCTTGATCCCTGATGGGGTCGTGGATAGGTACTGATGACGAGTCTCAAACTAGGATGAAACATCCGTCAAACGGTCCCTAGTGGTTTTCACTGGTCTCTCTCTCTATTTGATGTAAGTTCGTGATGAAATTTCACACCTACAATTAATTCAAATCCCTAGGAAAAACTCATAAACCGAACTTTTGTGGGTGTATGGGTGTGATGATAAACTCTGGGTGGAACAAAGTGATGATGATAACCTTTACATGTGGATGCATGGGGGTGTGGAAAGAGACATTTGAAAACCTTTAAACACCTTTTATAATAATAATAATCACCACTGAGTTTGTGATAGATTCTGTATGGAGCCTGACATTTTATACATCTTTCTCATAACTTAGCGTATTATGAATCCCTTTGTAATTTTGAACTACTCAAAGTCACGGAGTAAAAGAAGAATTGCTTTTTTTTAAAATTAAAGCTAACTAAACTTTTAATAAATTTGTTGTATTCTCTTTTTATTCTCTTTTGATTATAAATTGCTCGTTTATTATTTGTAATTGTTTATGTATTGCAATTTTCAGCAGCCTTGAAAAGTTTTAATGGGTGTAACTATATGATGAAAATTAAAACAAAAAACGAAATCCATTCATTGTACAAAAGATTTTTAAACGATTATTTCATTTTTCTTTTGAAAATTTACTCAATGACCCATTCACTGAATTATGAAGAGTATATTTTGATAGTAATAAAATGCTAGTTATAGTAGTTTTGCCCGGCGTTTAACATCCTATATTCATCTATATGCCTTTGATTTGTAACCATTGTGATATATTTGGCATTTTTGACAGTCTTTAGTGAGGTGTATTGGTGTCTCTTAGTAGACCTGAACCCAATTCACCGAGTTCTGCAGTCAGAGACGTCACCATTGAGCCGTTTTAGCTGGAGATTAACTTTACTGGATTCTTCGGTTGGACACAAGGTAGTAAGTAACTAGCGTCAAGCGTCTACTTAGTCTCGAGCTCGAATAACTCAGTGGTAACATCTCTGACTGGGTGACACGGGTTACAGTCTTAGAGGGGATATGAGCACCCACCCCTAACAAATGTCGAGAACCATGAAACCTAGCTGCAAGTTTTCCCGCCTATTGCCTCTAACCATCTAATATTTAGAGCTGTGTTGCTTTTTCTAAGGGATAGGGTTGTTAGCCCCAATCCATACTTTTCATCTTTTTCAGACTTTCTACCTCCTAGTAAACTAGGCACAGCGTGGGGGCGTGTCGGTGAAGAAGCTAACCAGGACTCCCTGCATGGCTGGCGAACATTCTACCATTATACTGACGACTTCATACGTCAGTATAGCGTAGGATGTCGTCAACCAAAGTTATTTACTTGTTAATGCCAGTCAGGAAGATTTTCGTAAATGGGATCAATGATTTCAATGGATTTTAGTTCCGAAGCATGAT